TTTACACAAGAACTAAAAGGGAAGTGAAGAAAGAACTAGAAACAAAAAGGTAGGAAAATACACTCTGTTAGAGCTGCAGGATAACTGATGCAGATCTCTTGTAATAACAAAAGTCTACTATAGAAGGCTGAGGACAGAAGTAAAAGACAAAAGATTGGCAACCAGGAAAAAGATATTTTGGTGCCAACCACTGGACATCTTTGGGTTCTCTGCTCTTTGTCCTTTGAGGACAGCTGCTGGGGTAGAGTGGAGGTTATGTAGGGGCTTTGGTCCCTATGAATAGACATTTGTTGACAAACGGCCAGTTTCAATTTAGTTTGAAGCTATTAAAAATTTAGTTTTATTGGCATTTCAGAAAGGCAGCAATTGTTCTGTTTCCCTGGCACAATTGTTGATGAGGCAGGTTGCAACTTGTCCTATTTGCTTAAGCCTTAGTCGAGGCCCTAAGGAGAGGAAAATCAGATGGTGTCATTTTGAAAGCATATCCGTCTTCTGGCAGGAAGCGGTACACTGAGGTGGCGGTTAGTCAGATTTTTCCCCTAGGTTTCCAAAGTGTGGGGTTCTAGAAGCTCTTGCGCTTGGCATCTTAGTTTGCTCCAGGCAGGCTGGCTTTCTGGGGAGATCTTAGTTGTGACAGTGACACACTTTTGTGTGCGTGAGGATGTTGAGGTCTAATGGTTCACCGAATAGTCTTTCACAAATGGCGGCTCAAACTCTTCACCACTGGAGGGTTAGTAATGAGCAGGGCTCTGGTGCTTCTTGGCTGGGTGGCGTGGGTCAGGTCACTTAACTTCTCTGAGCCTTAAGTGCCTCATTTTGCTACCAATGTTATTGTGAAGATTAACTGAAATAATGTGTGAGAAAACCCTAAGCACAATTCTGGCACATAGGAAGGGCTCAGAAAGTTGTGGCTAGTGCTAATGGGACCAGTATTGCTGCCACTGAAACTTGGGACATGAAAAATTCCCCCAGACTTCGCTTTGGGATTATGGCCCAAGTTTTAATGCTGTTAGCGAAGAAGATAAGAAAAGGTATCTCATTATCTAAACTTCACTTAATTTAGAATAGTATGATCTAGCATAGGTAGCTTAAGTAACTCCACTTCACCTTGAAAGGCAGTTGGGCTTGTTCAAACAGATTACTCAGAGGAAGTAAACTCTGAAATTTTGTTGTAAACAACATGGTCAATTCTATTCTATAAATCAATCTGTAAACATGAGTAATATATATTGAAGGACCCAGAGTGGAAAATCAGAAATATTAGGTAACAATGAATCCTAAACTTCAGGAAGCGTCAAGTGTATGGCAGTCTCAAGAGAAAGGAGATCAAGTATTTGAAAGTTTACAAAACAAAACTTTAGAAATGAAAAAGAATGATCTACAGTGCTGCAAGTATGCTTTTTGTTCATATTAACATCTCCTTGACTAATGTAAGATATGAGAAACTAATTATTCATCAATGTCTTTCTCTGATGTTGCTCCAAGACGTACATTCTCATCTGAGCTGAGGCGGATCTTTCCTTTTCTGCCTTTAGAGCTGTGTCTATCACCCATCATTCCATGAGAGCCAAGGTATCTCACCACATTAAGATAATTTCACATAAAAATTAAGAACTTTTGTTCATCAAAAGACTTTACCGAAAGAGTGAAAACACAAGTTATAGACTGGGAGAGTATCTTCAGAAACCATATATCCAACAAGAATCTAATAACCAAAATATATGTAAAATTTCGACAACTTAACAACAAAAAGACAACCCAATCATAAAATGGGCAAAGGACTTGAATAGACATTTCATCAAAGAGGACGTTCAAATGACCCCAAACACATGAAAAGATGCTCAGCATCATTAGCCATCAGAGAGATGCAAATCAAAACCACAATGAGATACCATTTCACTCCCACTAGGATGGCTAAGATTAAAAAAAAACAAAACAGAAAATAACAAATTGTTGTCGAGGATGTGGGAAAATTAGAACCCTTATCCATTGCTGATGGAAATGCCAAATGGTACAGCCATTGTGGAAAACAGTGTGGTGGTTCCTCAAAAAACTAAAAATGTCCTTCCTTGCCTTTAATAGTAAAGAGATCATACAGACTGGTAAAATATTTTTGGCTATGACGTATCTGACAAGGGTCTAATCTCTAAAATCTATAGAATACTTCAACACCTCAATAACAAAACGACAAATAATCCACTTAAAAAATGAGCAAATCATATGACCAGATACTTCACCAAAGAAGACATTCAGGCAGCTAACAGACACATGAGGAAATGCTCATGATCATGAGCCATTAGAGAAATGCAAATCAAAACTTCAGTGAGATACCATCTTACCCCAACATTACTGGCAGTAATAAGGAAAACAGAAATAACAAATGTTGGAAAGGTTTTGGAGAGATTGGAACTCTTATGCACTGCTGGTGGGAATGTAAAATGGTATAACCACTGTGGAAAACGATATGGAGTCTCCTTAAAAAGCTAGAAACAGAAATACCATATGATCCAGCAACTCCACTCCTAGGAATATATCCTAGAGAAATAAGAGCCCTCACATGAATAGACATATACACACCCATGTTCACTGCAGCATTGTTCACAACAGCAAAAAGATGGAAACAACCTAAGTGCCCATCAACGGATGAATGGACAAATGAATTATGGTACATACACACAACAGAATACTTACACAGCTATAAAGAACAATGATGAATCCGAGAAACATCTCACAAGATAGATGAATCTGGAGGGCATCCTGCTAAGTGAAATAGGTAATCACAAAAGGACAAAAATGGTATGATACCACTATTATAAAAACACAAGAAAAGGTTTACACACAGAAAAAAAAAAAAAAACAGTCTTTGATGGTTACGAGGGAGGGGAGGGGTGGCAGGAGAAATCACTAACTAGATAGTAGACAAGTGTTAACTTTGATGACGGGAAGACAACACGCAATATAGGAGAAGTCATTACAACTTGACGAAAGTAAAGCCATAGAAGCTTCCTAGACACATTCAAACACCTTAAAGGACTGAGTTACTGGGACTAATGGACCACATGAACCACAGCCTCTACTAGCCTGAGCCCAGAAGAACTAGATGGTGCCCACCTACTACCACTGACCACTCTGACAGGGATCACAATAGACGGTTCTGGATAGAGTGGGAAATAAATGTAGAAAATTCAAATTCACACACACACACGCAAGACCAGACTTACTGGTCTAACAGAGACTAGAGGAATCCGCAAGACTATGACCCCTGGACACCCTGCTAACTCAGAACTGAAGCCACTCCCAAAATCTACCTTTCAGTCCAAGATTAGACAGGCCTATAAAACAAACAATAACACACATGAGGAACACACTTCTTAGTTCAATCAAGTATAAGAGACCAAATGGACAATATCTGCCCAAAAGCAAAGACAAGAAGGCAGGAAGGGACAGGAAACCTGGACAAATGGATACTGGGTACCTGGCATATAAAAGGAAAGGAGGAAAGTGCTGACACATTGAGGGGATTGCAACCAATGTCACATAACAATTTGTGTATAAATTTTTTAGAAACTAATTTATAACTGATTGCTATAAACGCTCAACTAAAACACACACACACACAAACTAAAAAAAGAACTACCATACAACCCAACAATTCCACTCCTAGGTATATACCCAAAAGACTTGAAGGCAGAGACTCAAAAAGAGAACTGTACACCAATATTCATTGCAATACTATTCACAATAGCCAAAAGGTAGAAACAACAGATGAACGGATAAACACTGTACATACATACAATGGAATACTACTTAGCCAGAATGAGAAACGAAGTCTTGATACATGGATGGAGCTTGAAAACATTATGCTGAGCAAAATAAGCCAATAACAAAAGGACAAATATTGTATGACCTCCCTTATATAAAAAGACAAGAAAAGGCAAATGTACAGAGACCAGAGTTGATTAGTGGTTACCAGGGGTGGCAGGAGGGGGAAAACAGATGTTAAAGGTGATGGAAAAATCACATCGATTAAGGGTACAGTTGCACAGCTGATTGTTGGAATTGCTATCAGTAAGTTATACACTGGTAATAAGTTGAACTGGTAGGAGTTGTATGACAGATATATCTATAACAACGCCAAAAAAAAAAAAAAAAAAAGAGTAGCTGTTGAGGCTGCTTATGCGATGTGGTTCCTTGGTTTGGAGGTTTAGGGTCATGATTTCACAGGACATCCCAGTTAGTTGGCCTAATCACATGTTTAGTGGCCCTGTTCGATCTCCTAGTTCGTTGTGTACTGCCTGGGGTCTTAAAAACCTACAAGCGGCCATCCAAGTCACAACAATTGCTCTCTATTCACCCAGAGCAACAGAGGAAGAAGGAGAGTCAGAAATAGGAGGAGAATATGGAATGTGTGGCTTATTGCCTCCATGAACAACTGCCTCCTTTGCCATGAGACCAGAAGAATGAATGGTGCCCAGCTACCATTACTGAAAATTTTGATCGAAGATTCCATACAAGAATCCTGATCAAAAGGGGGGAAATGCAGAACAGAATTTCAAATTCTCATGTACTCTAGACTTTCTGGAGCTATGTAGGGCAGGTGAACCCCTGAAACTATTTCCTTGAGATAATCTTTAAAACTTGAAGCAAAAATATTCCCTGAAGTCATCTTAAAATCAAACAATAGTTTAGCTTAACTAGAAAAAATGTCTGCCTTGAGCATTATGCTCTTTTAAGAGCTATATATACAGGATCAAACTGACAACAGCAACCAGAAAGATTAGATAGGTACCTTAGGGGGCAGTGAGTTTGTTAATGAGGGAGGAACAACTCAGAAAAGGAAGGTGAGAATGGTTGCACAACTCGAAGAATGTAATCAAAGTCACTAAATTTTACATGTAAAAACTGTTGAATTAGTGTATATTTTGCTGTGCATGTTGTCAACAACAACAAAATAAATAAAATATAGAAAAAAAATTTTAAACTCATGAATAAGTAAAATTAAACCACTGAATTGTAATTCGTGATTTCCAGAATTAATTGATGATATTCAAACCAACTGGGAACTACTACTAGAAAACAAACAAACAACATTTAATAATACAAAATTATTTATTAGTAAAAAAATGAAAATTTGTTCATTATAGAGAAAAGTAAGACAACTGAAAGTTCCCTATAAAATATTTTAACTCTAAGTGTACAAAGTAGGAGCGGCAGTGTGACCGGGTTTGAGGACTTTGTATTAATTCCTAAGTTAGCATCAGAACATTGAATGTTGGCACGTCAACTGCACTTGGGATATTTTGTGAATGGGTTGCATATTTCAAGCTGTCAACTAGCTGTCGTAGGAAAATTGGGTGAAAATGCCTGCCATGCTCCAAATTAATGTCATCTCTATTAACTATAGCAGATGTCACAGTTTGTTTCCCTTTTATAGAAATCACTGGCCGCTGCTGCAGAGGAAGCAAAGTCCACATAGTCTGTGCTGGGATACGAAAAATACTCTGATGCCCGAATGCTGTCCAAGTGCTCTGCCTCACAGGACGCACAGTAACAGACCGGGGCGGGGGCTGAGGAGAAGCAGTTGTACTGGGTGTGCGAGGGCAAGTGATGGCAGGAGTAGTCTTCTGAGGGATACCCACCGTTTCTGGTGTCCAGAGAAGGGGGAGAATTGTAATTCTCTGGGGCGTATGAAGGCAGCTGAGCTGGCGAGTAACTGTAGTCTAAGGAGCCAGAGAGTGTGGAGGAATCTGAAGACGATCCTGGGGTCTAGAGAAATAAAAACCAGGAGACAAAGAACTTGATAACTTAGACAGCAACAAAAGAATTGAATAGTGTGTGTGGATTTATTAACATAGAGAAAGACAATTAGACCAAAAAAAAAAAAAAAAACAAAAAAACCCAAGTCTGCAGAAGTAATTTTAGTTGCTGACTACATGATTTCAAGATACCACATTCTATGTTTACCTATTTCTTTCCCAACAATAAATTGCCTTGCTTCACTGGCTTCCTTTGTTATAACCATAGTTTAGAGGATGCTTTGTTCGTAAACCACAAATTTCCATTGTGCTTCAAGTCACCTGCACATCAAATCCTGCCGTGGGGTACAATATAAGCTGCAGGTGGCACAAGGGATGTTTCTCCACACCCTGACTGTGAAGAACAAGGTGACCACAGGAAGGTAGAAGTGGGATCCTTAATGACCCCGTGTCTGGGATACCCCAAGATGCAAAACTGTTCTAACCACCACTAGAGTCTTCTGAGGAGAAAGATACCTTCTGCTTTCTCTTAATCAAAAAAACTTGTTGCCGTCAAGTCGATTCCAAATCATAGTGACCCTACAGGGCAGAGTAGAACTGCTCCATAGGGTTTTTAAGTAATGGCTGGTGGATTCAAACTTCCAACCTTTTGGTAGCAGCTGAGCTCTTAACCATTGCACCACCAGGGCTCTGCTTTTTCTTAGGCAGGTCTCTAATTGTTACAGAGAAAGCCTAAGTAGGAGACTAGAAGGGAATGCGTGATTGGGGCCCTCTATTTTCCAGGTGATGGTATGCATATTCCGTGGAGCTAGTTTCCAATCCCCTCTAAAATCTGGTCTGATACCTACATGGATTTCTGACAAATCAGAACCGAAAAGTACTTCCATTTCTAAAAAAAACCTTACTTTTTAAGGCTTAAGAGTTATGTGGTTAGCCTTTAAAAAGTATCTCAAACAACTAGTATCTACTAAAGGAAACCTTACTCCATTTTAAAGGCTAACACATTTTCAAACATTTGAGGCGCATCAAGCACAGGGATTAACCAAAATTCTTTCAAGCATTAGAGCTTCACCTTTACTAACCGCTTCCAGCCCAAATGAGTTCCTGTGCCTATGGCAGACCAAAAGAGCCAGTCAGTAGCGCCAATTCAGGGACAAAACCAAACCAAACTCCCCTATCAGAATGACAGTTTGGTACTGTGTAGACACAGCCTCCATTCTCTTTTCAAGAATTCAAAAATCCATTCATCAGCCTATGTTGGGTTTCCTAAGTAAGGGCCACTGTGCAAATCAGTGATTTCCAATTAACAGGTGTCTTAACTTCTTAGTTTAAAAAACATTAAATGAATATTGCTAGGAAATCTCTTTTTATTGCCACATACCAACTTCCTTGGGAGTCCTTGGGAAATGCTAATTACGTACGTATTGAAAGGTTTGAGCCTGCCATGTGTGGCCATTTCTACTTCCACTGATTTTTAAATGGTTCCCTGGGATTGTGTTCTCTGTTAATTTCCTGTTGACAGTATTTGTACAATTTCTGCAGAGATGATGCTAACCTCTTACAAAGCATTACTAGCCCACAGGAAGGAACGACTGAGTTTTGTGAAGAGCTGAGATAAATTACCAGGTTCTGGTTAAAGCAGAAAGGGGTAGCCTGGAAGCTGTCTGGGAAATAGTGTGATGTGCTTTGCATGGAATTGAGCGAAGGGTCCGGATGTGTCTCTGTCTGAAGGTAGGAATCGAAAATCTGTTCGAGGCAGCTTGGGTTTTCGTCACAAGAAATGCAACTGGAAAATTCTCGGGGCTGAAAATAATTGGGTGTGGAAGAAATCGGTTCAGGCTCAAAATACAGTCCTAGAGGAGAAATGAAAAAGGGAGATTTTTGTTTAAAAATTGCACTTACAGATTCTAATGGAGTTTTATTGTATACTCTAAATATTTACTACCTCCAGGGGAAAGGGGGCTTAAGAGTTCCAGAAAAGTAAGTTGGCAAGCAATTTGGAATTTTTAATTGTTTTAGTTAATTCGAGTCCTAGTGAAATAAATCTGGTTAGTAATGTGGAAATTGGCTGTAAACATGGCTGGGGTGGGGGTGGGGGTCAGAAATAAAAGAATGATGATCCAACCTGTGTTTAATTGTTGAACAATGGCTCAAAGCCTCAACTTCCTCGGACTATAAAGGATCAACATCTAGCCGTTATGTGCAGTTCAAATAAACCTCTCTGAGGTAACTTAAAGAGATGTTTGAGGCTTTAACAAAACTTCAGACACTGTGGGAAATAATTGTCTTGATTGAGGATTATTGTGTTCCTAAACTTTTCACACCTACTTAGTAACTTAAATTTTGAGGAGAGGGTTTTAAGAAGTAATATAAACGGCAATACAAATTTTAAAAATGGAAATCAGGAACATGGAGTACAAATTAGTACTAGTTGCTTTACATTACATAAAGCAACAATGTTATCTTCCCGAACATGTTCACATAATAATACAATTAAAATAACTCGTTAAACACCAAACAAGAATAATTCTGAAAACATTATACCTTTCCCATTTTATTATTAACAGGTCCGATTTGTGCTTATTATCCTTAAAATTCAAAAAAGACAGGTTTAGAATAGGGACTACTGAGCACTGCAGTTTTCTGAGTCCTAAGGTTCCTTTAAGGTAAGTTTAAATGACACATTCCTAGGGTGCTATCATAAGCACAGGTTTCCTTATATATGACCTCCTTAAACTCTCAGCTGTTAAGTGGCATAGGTAGGAGTGTTTATGTAATAGTTATTCGTATTGGGCTGAGAAAACTTACACTTGTTTGAACTGCTTTCTGGGAGAGAGAAAAGAAGGGGGAGGGAAGCCCCTGTCGGCTAGAAATCAATTGAACAACAGCAAAGGCATTATTCTGGTACCTCAGGATGTTCTGTATCCCATCTACTAAGACACTAAAAAAGATAACAAGTTTCTGAAAACAATTCTAATCTTTAAGTCTAGTTACTTGGAGATGAGGAACTGGAAGTGAATGTGAAGAACAAACCCTTTGGACAGAATAGACAGTTCAGAAAGGAGGACACAAATGCGCGCTTGTTTCCTCCCTGGGCTCGCATCTGGAGTCACTGTGCCTTTTTCACCTTCTGATTGGTTGAATTCCAATTAAATGGTGGTGCCTATCTTAACCCCTGAATCAAGCACTGAAAGACTTGCGAGATGGACTTCTGAAATAGCTTTTGAGGGAACTGTAATGCTGGCTGAACTGACCTGCAGAAGATGGTGCGACTGGGTCTGCAAGGTGGATACCGCTGCTTCCCGACAGCTACCAAAGCAAGAAGAGATTCATCATGCAAAGTGAAATAAAAATTCTATCAAGGGAAAGCTAAGACATTTTGACGTGAACTATGCTTCCTTCTGCTCTAAGGTAAAGCCATATTCTTTCTTCTAAGAGTTGCTGTTCATTACATACAACCAATGTAATATTTTATTTAAATTAATTTTAATGTTGGCTTGGGGATTTTCATCCCCCTAATTCAGACTCTCCAAATTAAATATTAAAGGTTATTAATTTTGATAGAAATGAATGTAAACAATTTTTAGTATTACCAAACTCTAACAGTTTGAGCAAGCTCAACAAAGAATCTCTATTAAATTATTTAATTTAATATTAGTAAAGACTCACAATTATTTAACTTCAACTGTCTATCACTTAGCCAATCATTTTCCTCAGAAATCTTCCTATACCATCAGGCTGCTTAACTGTAGGAATTCCTTTTCCCAAAGGAAACAATTCCTAACTTTGTTAATTCTGAATAGCTAAATATAGTCACATGTTCTTATAATCTATGAAATATCAAAATAGAAAATATTTTATTAAAGTTGTACTCAGTGAGCAGGAACCTATCTATATTCTACTGAGTGGCTGGGGAATATTTCAACTCCTTGTATATTTTTTACGATTTTCTATAAAAGTTGCTTTTTTCACTACTGTCTCTAAATACTTGGAAGTTTATACAACTGCTCCTTTTGGCTATGTAAAGTAACGTAGCCTGTACTTCACAGTTGAATTGATAATTGTATTAACAAAGTAATTTAGATTTTTTTTTTTGTAGGTTTCAGGTGGTGGCTTTAAAGTTTAAAGGGACTCGCATTGCTCTGTGATTCTGTGCTGGGAAGCCTTGATCACCACCACACCGCTCTCGGGTTACAGAATACACTCACTCCCTTATACAGAGCCACTTGGAGAGCTGCACCATCAGCCAGTTCTGAAACAGGAGGTGGTGTTCATTTTGAAAACGATCCATGCTGTACTGTCATGAACCAGGAAGCTGGAATCAGTTACCAGCTCTTTATGCAAATATTTGGCTGCAGCTTGAGCTAAAGGACTTGGAAGGAGAAGGTTTTAAAAAATCTGCTTCACTGCAGACCTCTCATTAACCCCATTCCTCCCCCGGATTGGCCTGTTTTTCTGCCTCCCCATTTTATCTCCCTGAGGTATGTTTACAGTATCCAACTTGATATTATCTTTCTAGTCATGGGTTCACTTTCTACTCTGCTCCAAGAATACAAAGAAAGGCACCTCTTTAAGATTTCAAACAGCACAAAAAATCCACAATCTACAATCTATAAAAACGCATCAAGGCTGTTCAAAAAAACTAAGGGTTAAAAGAACAAAACACACAAGGGTAAATTACATCTTTTGATAAGTACTAACTCAAGTTTCCCTTTACCCTAAAGGCGAAAGAACTGTGTGTGTGTTTTCTCGTATGTATGTCTGCAAATTGATCTGGCTGAAGTAAGTTTTTGTAATCAAGTTTACAAGTTTGGCACGCACGTGTTTCTCCTGGCACTGCTGAGTGCCTGATATCTGTCTCAATCTAGAACTCCCATTCGCGATTGCCTTCTTGAAATTTCAAAGTGTGGATACTACTCTGACTTTCTAACAAATTAAGATAAACTTCCTGCTTAGTAACATTTGACTTCTTGGCTTAAAGTTTCCCAAAGGCGTCCTTCAACAATTGAACAAATTGGAGATCATCTCTGTTAAACCAGAAAGGTCTACGCCAGGGAACAGGCATGAGTTACCCCAGGTTAGCTCGGCTACTAACCAAAAGGTCGGCAGTTCAAATCCACCAGCTGCTCCTTGGAAACCCTCGGGGGCAGGTCTACTCTGCTATGAGTTGGAATCAACAAGACAGCAATGGGTTTGGTTTTGGTTTTTGGTTATCTGCCATCCTAGGAGTCCCTGGGTGACGCAAACAGTTAAGCGCTCAACTACTAGCTAAAAGGTTGGCAGTTTGAACCTACCCAGAGGTGCCCTGAAGACAGGTCTGGTGATCTGCTTCTGAAAGGTTACAGCCTTGAAAACCATATGGAGGGTTCTACTGTGCACACATGAGGTCACCATGACTTGGAATTGACTCGATAGCAACTAACAACAACAACATCTGCCGTCCTAGCCTATTGAGTACACCCTGGTAGTTTTCCTAGAAACCCTGTTCCTTCTAGATGGCTCCTAGTGAAGGATTTTACATCTAGCTCTTCTATTTAAATTATATGTGTTCCTCCTATATGCCTGCAAGGGCATGGGCTGATATAATCTTCCAGGAAGCAAACTGCAGCTGGCTCATTTCTGCCATGTTCCTGCAAGGCATTGGTTCGGATGTACTGCTTTATTATTTCTCAAGGAAGAAATTCAGAAAAAAAGTCAAATTTCTTGAGGAATCAGAAACTGATCAGGTACAGGTCAGATACACAGGTGAAGTGTTCTACCTTGCTACAGCTCCTGAAGCTGGCTAACGGGGGGGACAGTGGCCAAAGAGACCACAGCAATCAAGCTGTCATGGCCAAACACGACTACCTCAAGTGTGTCTGAAATGGAATTCTACCATGTACATCCAAACTTCTCAATGAGAGATTGCATTTTTAATGAACATCTTGATTTTCTTTTCTTTTTGCTCCAGAAGCACTTCCCAGTTCCCTTGTATCTGGTTTTATTGATTTTAGAACCATCTCTGAGCTGAAGGGAATGAGGTTACCAGACTCCTGCTCAGCGTACCTGAACCTGCAGAAAGATGATTTAAAAAGCCAATAGGTGGGAAGGGTATTTTCCAGTAAGAATAAGAAGATCTTCTTCCTACTTTTAGCTCTGCCGTTAGTAACTTTAAGATTTTAAACTTTTTTTTTTTTTAGCTGTAATACAGGTATATGGATCCCTAATCTACTTACCTCACCTGGTTGTATAAGAATTAAAATGAAATAGTGTATGTGCAAAAGTGCTTTAAGGAAGAAACACTGTAAAGCCTTCTACAAATATAAGGAAGTTTTACTGTGTTAGCTGAAATTCTGCACACAGAGGTGCTAACTTCTCCAGTAAAGGCTAAAGTAGTGCTGTATGTGCCACATTCCAGAACGGTCACACTGGAACTCTATACTCTGAGAAAAGGGTGTCAATGAACATTCCTGAATAATTGGCTTTTTTATGTTAGTCACATTTCACCAATAATTATAATAGCTAACATTTATTGAGCACTTACCATGTGGAAAGCCCTCTCACAAAATCTTATTATTCCCAATTTAAAGATGAGAAAGTAAGACAAGAGAGACTGAGTAATTAGCTCAAGGACAAACACTATGGAGGAGCTTAGATCTAAACCCAGTCTATCTAGTTCTAGAACTTGTGCTCACAGCCACTACATCATTTGCCTCTTCCTACAAAGACCCATTTCATGAAGACATGGAATTTGTGCATTGCACACAAACAGCACCAGGCACAAAACTCACTGTGGGACAGATGCCAATAGGCTGCAGACAAGACCAATCCTAACACAGGCAGTTCAGGCTCCAGCTGTTGGAACCAACACACAAGCAAGTTGTTTGATCAGGGCTTTCAGCAAAGAACTACTCTCTCAGGGGATAACCCTACCTAGTTTATTTGGTTCTGCTGCTGTTGTGCCCTTGGCACTACTTATCTGCTGTCCAGAAAACCAAACCAAACCCGTTGCCGTTGAGTCAATTCTGGCTCATAGCAACCCTAAACGACTGAGTAGAACTACCCCCATAGGGTTTCCAAGGAGTGGCTGGTAGATTTGAACTGCCGACCTTTTGGTTAGCAGCCAAGCTCTTAACCCGTGAATCACCAGGTCTCCTATCTGCTTTAAGAAGGTATATAAAGTGTCAGGGTACCCTTATGACTGCTCAGATCAATCTTGTGATAACCTCAAACTACTTAAGGCCTCATTACATCTTCAGGAAACGGTTCTATACTCCAAGCTGTCTCCTAGGCAGAGATGTGGCTCCTTTACTTTCAGAACTTTCAGTGACTTTCAGTGACTGGTGATTTACAGATAAATGACCTCAGAAGCTGAGTTCCAGAAGAATGAGGAAGGGGAGGATACTCCAAAAGGTGCTATCCTTGAAGGACTGCCTAAAATGCAGTGAATTTCTGGGAGAGCTTTTCTGTGGGTATGTGAAGCCACATGCATTGTTTTTCCTGATAGAATAACAACTTACTTACCTTCAGGCTGCTCCTCTCCCTGCAGGGAATCAACAAGCCCTTATATTCAACTCTGATGAGTGAGGGATGGGCTCCCTCAAATCCTGAGCCCTACACCATGCCCCCATCTGCTCTCTGTGGCTTCCTGTGGTGAACTGGGATGAATTTATAAGAACAGCTGAGGAAGGCCAGGTTTGGGGATAGACAGTGGAGTCTAGGGTGGCCTTGACAGCTTCCTAGACACACGGATGAGTGAGGCCTGACAGGCTGGGGAGTAAGTGAAGGGTTTATGCTTACAGTTCCCCCTGAGGCTGCCTGGTGTGCCCTTCTCTGCTGCAGCAACTCTTTCACGGTGATCTTCACCCGGACACCTTGATACACCTTAGGTTTTTCTGGGGAAAGGCAATTGAGTCATTGGTCAAGTCCAAAGTATGGGTGTCAGAGTGGGCAATGGGGTCCTCTTTATAGAATACGGCACCTGCAGCCAGTTTTCTGGGTTTGAAGAATGCAAACAGAATGCTAGAAGACAGCTGGAGAGAAACCCAAATCTCTCAAACTTGGAAAGATAAAGAGAGGCTGGGCAGATCTCAGAGCCGGCATGGAAACAGAACCCATGGAAATTTGTGCGACCTTCCACCTCTGGTGGGCCCCATCCCTAGACCAATAGCACACAGGTTTTCCTGCTCAGAAATGTGGAGACTACCTCAGAGGAGCACACTACCTTAGCTAACTAAGCTGCGGCAACTTGGGGTTCTGGCCCCAGTGACCGGCGGGGGGAGGCGCCCAGTGCTAGAGATCTGATCTCTCGAGGCTGACCTAGCCCACCCCACTGTAATTTCCCACTGGTGTGGAAGCTCTGAGTCCCTTCCTTCCCCACCAGGCCAGGCGTGGCTTCTTGGGAGGCTCCGGCCTCTATATGCCCTTGGTCTGGAAGCCAGCCCTGGGGTAAGCGGCAGGCAGGAAGAGTTTGGCGAGCTCCGGCCATCGTCCTGTGAGGCGCTTGCCAGCCAGAGAGCCAAGCCCAGGGAACTCCCTCCCCTCTTTTTCTTCGGCGGTTTCTCTAGCCCATTTTCTCTGCCTGTCCCGCGCTGCTCCCTCTTTTCCTTCCCCCTCCTTCGTCCACCCGCTTCTTCTGTCCCCTTCTGCTCGTCTCGTCCCCACCCCTCCCTCTCGGGCAGGCCTTTCTCGGCTGCGCATCGCCCCAGCGCCCTGAGGGTCCGAGTCGAGTCCGCGCAGCGCGAGCTCCCAGGAATGCCAACCGGAGGCTCCCCAGAATCGCCTACTCTGCTGGGAGTCCGCCCTCCGTAAGAGGCCACCATCCGGACTGGCGGGACCAAGCCAGGCCAGGCCGGCTTGTACTGCCGGGCTGGCGGGAGCAGTCCAGCGCGCGCCCGAGGGGTCCGCGGGAAGGGAGCGCCTGTGCGCCGGGAGAGGCGCACGCCGCGGCCCCAGGTCCCGCTGAGCCGCAGTGAGTTGGTCCGACCGAGCTGCTAGGCCAAGCCAGGCCGCGAGAGCTTTCGGGGATGCCTGCAGGACCCCAGTGGGACTGCGGCCTGACCTCGACCCTGGAGGGAGCGCTCGGCGGAATCGCACGGAGAGGGGCCCGGCCCCACGGCTTGGCCGGCCGCGCCTTCAGTTTGGGCCCCAGGCGACAGTGCCTAGGCCGGCAGCGCCTCGCCTGGTCACTGTGGGGATCGCAGCTGGACAGCAGGGAGCCCCCCAGGCCAGGTCCCGGAAACTAGGGGTCTCCCCAGGAAACGAGATTGCCTTGTTTCTCGCCCAGACTCAGTGAATCCCGTGCCGACCCGCAGGGCCTGGGCGCCGCGCCCTCTCGGCAGTTCAGTCTCCTCCGCCCCCGCCCCCCCACTTCCTTGTCCCCGTCGGGGCTCCGCGGGCAGCGAGCGCGCCTCGGGGTCCACACAGGGGCCACCCCAGCTCAACTCTGTGGGGCCGGCTTGCCCTCCTAGCGTCCAGGGTTCGCCGTGAGCCTCTAGCTCCCCCCGCCGCCGCTTCTGGGCGCGGAGTCCGCGCCTGGAAGTCCCAGAGATATAACTGGGGAAAAGTGGGAGGACAGGCGGGGGACAAGGGTCCGGAGCGGCCAACTCGGCCTCTGGGCCTCTGTTCTGGGGAGCAGGCGCTGAGTGGGAGCGGCCACAGCGTGGCCCTCTCCCGATCCCCGGCCCTGACTTGCATGCCTTGACTTTGTGCCTCTCTGTTCCATGCAGGAAAAGCTGTGGAAATTCACCGGGATTGAAACGCCCCTGGCCCGTGTGACCCTACCCCGGGAGAAGCAGTCGAGTTACCCGACATCGTGGTCAGCTGAAGCTGGGTCGGTGGCTGGATGCTGCAGCTGCAGGGATTCGGCGCCTGGGAGGGCTCCTGTGCAGGGGAGAGAAGCAGAGATGCAACATTTTTAAAGTTTCACAAAGCATCCGGCTGCATCTGGGCCCCTGGAGCAGGAGACAAACAGAATTAATGTTTTATACCTTCGGGTATAGGTTTGAGTTTTTTCCCCCTCATGCCAAGTATTTAAAACCTCTAGAAACCCATGATTTGACAATCAATGATTGCGCGATACTTTCAATTTGAATATTCAAAGGCTTAACAAAATGGACTATCTTCTGCAGAAATCCTGCACACAAGCACCCCACAGAGAGTCCAGAGAAACAGGGAGTGAGACCCCTTTGGGTCCTAGCCCTTGCTTTTATTGTATTTTGAGCATTTTGTCCACCTTCCCACAGACAGAGCAGGTGTCCTCAAAGATGCTCTGTGTTTTTGCCTCAAAGGCAGCTGCAGGAGCCCTGAGTGACCTAGGCTGCCCTCTGTGACCACCTCAGCCAGGCTGGCCGGCCAGACTGAGTAGTACATCCTCAGTCACCGTTTTAAGGGAAAATCTCTGGTTTTGGGGAGTGAACATGGCCGCCAGGGGGTGTGGCACAGCCAGGAGTGACTCTGGGCCCAAGTTGCAGGCCCGAGGCCCAGTGGAGGCCTTTGCTCAGCGGCTGGTCTCCTTCAGGCCCCACCTGGCCACGTGTAGGCTTCCCTCCCCCTATTTACTCCGCTCTCTGCCTGGGCCCCAAACACTGGGGTTTCAGCCCATTAAGACCCTTTGCTCCTCCCCATGGAGCTGGGGATACCAATAGGCCTCGCCTTCCGCTCTTAGTTTCTGAGGCTGGTGGTTCTTCACTGTGAAGCTTCCTCTCGTTCTCTCCTCTTTCTTCTCCTAGAGCTATCCCTGCCTTTTTTGCTTAAGAGGTAAATGTTGAGAAGTGGGGACAATCTTGGCTCTTGCTCATTTTAGCTGTAAGAAGATCATGGATTTGTGTTCAAGGCTCCTCACTTTGGTGTGAGAGCCAGAGGGGATTTGAGGTCAGGTTGCCCCCTTGGTCCAGGCCTCACCCCTCACCAGCTACGTGTGCTGTGCTGCTTCCATGTGGTTTAGAAGCCTGTGGAGACAGGTGTGGTCCAGAGAGGGAGTGAGTGCCAGGCCAAATCCTCTCCTAGACCCAGAGGGCAGAAGTACTAGAAGAGGGAGAAGACTGAGAAGCAGGGTGGGGTGCCCTGTACAAATAAGCCTAGATATTCCCATGATGCCAGGCCAGGTGGTAGGTATGGGCCTCTGCTCTTTGTTCCCTGAGTGCTCTGAAAGTACAAAAGTATTTTGTCCCAGAAAAACATCTGAATGCCCTGGACTATGTCCAGTGCAGGGAGGAGCATATGGAGTTGAGGGGAGGGGGCTCTCTGAGAGTGATGAGACAGAAGCATCTGTGCTGGGTAGGGACTGCTCAGCTGCTGAAGCCACGGCTTTGGGGGAGACGGTCAGGGCTAGGAACACCTGAGGGGATACCTGGCCGTGGAGGGCAGGATGGGGTGTGTATGTCCCAGGCCGGCTGCAGTCTTTCAGCCTCTGAAGCCTCCTGAGCCTGCGTCTTGGGTTTCCCTGACGGAAGTCAGGCCTGAGGACCAGATCTTGAGGAGAGGGAAGGACGGAGGGAGTGGAGAGAGCCCATAGTTCCTCTCTTCCCTGCCTGGGGCACTGCTCCTTCTGAAGGAACAGTGAGCAAAGCAGCGTCTGAACATCCCCACCCATGCTCTGCCTGAGCCTCTGCTTGGAATTAAGGATGGCCTTTTGTCCCTGTAGGAGCCCTGGTGGCACAGTGGTTAAACATTTGGCTGCTAACCAAAAGGTCAGCAGTTTGAATCCACTAGCTGCTCCTTGGAAACCCTATGGGGCAGTTCTGCTCTGTCCTGTAGGGTTGCTCTGAGTTGGGGTTGACTTGATGGCAGTAGTGTTTTGGGTTTTTTTGGTCCCCATAGCGTCTTCCCTTGCTTCTTTTCTCTTCCGTTCTCCTCTTTTTTGCTTTACTCTTATTTTTCTCTTTGTTTTTAAAAATCTTCCTCATTGTCCTTTTGTCTTGGTTTTCCCCCTTTGTCTTAATTTCTTTCCAGACACTTTTTCTCTCTTGCTGTCACTGTTTCTCTCCATTCCTGGTGTGTGTGGCTGTTTTTCTCCCTGGCCACTGCGTATCTCTGTTTTCCCCTCTTTGGGGTGCTGTCTCATTCTCTCAGGCCTCATCTCCTTCCTAACCTCTCCTTTCACGTGGAGATGGGTAGGGATGGCAGGAGGCCATCATGTTCTCTTGGCAACATCATTGCAGTTGGTGCTGACTTGGTACTCTGTGAAGGCAGGTAGGGCTGAGTGAGAGGCCAGCTCCTTGGAAGTCCTGGCATCTGTGGGAACAGCAAAGAACTCTCTGTCCCTTCCTCCAGGAGCCTCTGCCTGAGCTGTGGCAACAATCCTGGGGGCTTCTGTATGGCCCCTGTCTCTGGGATGGACAGTCACTTGCTCAGTGCTGTTGCTGGCCAGCAACTTTAGACAACTGGACCTCCCCAGGCCTGAGGCCTGTTTTGAGAAGGAAGCTCCACAGTTTTTAGCGCAACATTAAGGGAGTTTTGGTTTCTGCTATTTCTATAATTTCAAATCCTCAGCCATACTCCATGTTTATGGGGTAAGTAAGGCAGAATTCTTTCTAAATGGATCCTGTGAGTCCTCACAGATCCACTTATGTGATGAGGATGGAGCAACCAGGTCTACCCTGAGACCCTCAGACATCCATAGGTTTGGATATGCCTTATAGGAGGATTTTTAAAGCTGTCATTTATGAAGTGTTTGCTGTATGTCGGGCACTGTATCATATAGTGTCCCCATTTCACAGACAAGGAAACAGGCTCGAGGAGTTAAGTAACTTGCCCAAGATTATTAAGCCCATAAATGGCGGAATTGGGGTTAAAACTTTGACAAGTCTGACTCCAGAGCCCTTGCTCTTAACCATTGTTGGGTTCTGCCTTCCTGATCTTTTTTAACAGAGGCTGACAAACCTTTTTGACTTCAGTCCACAATAAGAACTTCCTTCTACATGTTCATGCATCTAAACATGTATATCTAAAACAATATCCATATTTAATAGCTATGTATTTATTAAATAAACTTCATGAACAGTATATATAGATGTATGTGCAATACTATATTTTCTATTTCATCTTTTCCAATTTATTCTATTTATTAAAAATCTATGTTGGTTGGGATTCACGAAGTTAATTTAATGACTGACTAATGAGTTATGGGGTATAATGGTGGTTCAATGGTAGAATTCTCACCTTCCACGCGAGGTTCAGTTGACCTGGGTTCAATTTCTAGCCAATGTACCTTGTGCAGCTACCACCTATCTGTCAGTGGATGCTTGTGAGTTGCTATCATGCTAAACAGGTTTCAGCAGAGCTTCTAGACTAAGATAGACTAGGAAGAAAGACCTGGCTATCTATTTACCAAAATAAGCCAGTGAAAACCCTATGGGATCACAATGGTTCAATCTGCAGTCAATCATGGGGGTGGTGCTGGACTGGGCAGGGTTTCATTCAGTTGTGCGTAGGGTCCCTGTGAGTCGGGCTGACGACAGCTAACAACAACTACTGAGTTGTAACTAACATTGGAAAAATATTACCTAAAAGATATGCCAGCACACTTCTCAACATTGTGCATGTGGAAGTATTTTGATATGCTATTTGTTTTACTATTAGTATGTGTGAGGAGACTAAGACAAGGCAGCATCCTGACTTGAGAGTGTCCTGTAAGGGCTGGAACCCCAGGGTGGGGAAGAGGAGGCTGTAGGGGTGAGGATGAGGTTAATTATGTTAATTGCACTTGGTGCCTCTCAGACTGGGATCTCTTACCCCTTGCTGGGGGCGTTGAATGTCACCTCTAGGATGTCTTCCCTGAAGCCCTGACAGTCTCTTTGGGGTTTTAATAAAAGACTGAAAAAAAGTTGTAGGGTTTCCAGAGGCTATAGTGGGCTCGCTTGCTTGAAAATGTAACATAGGATCTGGATGTTTGGATGTTGGGAGGGATCTTTGAGGTGCTGAGAGGGACTTAGAGTCTCATTCCAACATTTCTGCTGGTGGTGGTCCAGCTCTGGCTCCATTACTTGGCTGAGCTCCTGGCCCACCGAAGAATGTGTGTTGAGTCATTGAGAGCTCATTATCTGTGAGGTAGCTGGTTCCACTATTGGATTGCTTTAAATATAATGATCGACTGAGTCAAAATCCAGTTAGATATTTATTGAGCACCAACTATGTTACCAGGCGTGGTGTCCAGCACCAGGAATACAAAGATAAATAAGTCATGGTTCTGCCATCAGGGGCTCGGTGAGCAACACGGAGTACTTCTCCTTGTGCTTCCACACTGCTGCTTTTCCATTATAGGTTTGTTTGGTTCATTTGTTGGTTCATTTATTCATTCAGCATATATTGATTAGCAGCTCTAGTCAGGCCCAGTATAGGTGCTGCCATCCTCCCTGTCCCCCCACACCCCAAGCCTTCTCTCGTTGAGGCTGACCATCTGCAGATTCTTCAGTTCGTCACATATCACAGTTTTTCACATCTCTGACCATCCCTGCCACTGAGCTCAGAAACTTTTTAGTCAGTCGGCACCAGAATGATGAGTATAGGATACTTTTTAAAGTTTTAATCAATGTTTTAGCTGAAATTTTAGCAGTCTTTTGTAGGTAAATGACACCTAAGAGCATTATAGTTTTCCCCCAAAGTTGGAAAGTAGGAGACTTTTTGTACATAGACACATGAATAGTAAAGACTTTCAATATAAGGAAAAGGAGTAGCTTATTCCCTCTAAATTTGACTACAAGCTCTAAATTCTTTATGAATGCAAAGTTCTTTTGTCGTCTTGACTTTGGGACACTGTTACCAACCCATGTGGGAAATATCAAGTTCCAAAACCTGAATACGTGGAGGAAACAAGTCCATATGAAAATAACCAGGAAGACTATTAAATGAAGGTTATTTAATGGTTTATGACCAGTAGGTCTCTTCCCATAAGATATATTCAGAGTTTTAACTTTTCCTTATAAACATTCCCAGGGGGACAGCCTTTAATAATTTACCATTTAAATAAGGAAAACACCGTCATACACTGTTCTAAAAGTACATCTTTCACTTAAAATTTTTTGCTTTGTAATATTTAAGACATTAAAAAAATGTATAAAGAATACCATGATGCAAATCTATGAGTATATGACCAGGTTAAGAAATAAAACTTCAATATGGTTGAAGTAATGTTTCATTTATGATTAAAGGAACTTATTAAGCATTAAAACTTTTGGAATATTCCACTTAAGATATTTGGTTAGGGAAAAGGTTAGCAGGAATATGTATCAATTTTCCTAATACAAAAAAGCTAATTCTTAGATATTATTTGCTTTCTCTACATTTTTTTTTTTTTTCCCCTTTTGTAACTTGGGAAATTCTTTACTTTTCTTTTAGGCTTGTAATACTCTGACAATGACATTGTGTAATTGCAAACTTACACATCTCACTTTATCAGGGGTTACGGTTAGAGGATACTTCTGTATTGGAGATCAAATATAACCTGATGTCATCATTTACAAATAACTAGAAGATTTGATTATTATTTACTTGACCTCATCTTTGAAGATTCTAGACCCTGATCTGTATTTCATATTTGTTTTAATCACACCAGGGATAATACTAAACACTGAATAAATTTTATTTTTAAAACCTCTTAGCAATTATATTGTAGTGCAGGTAGATTCTAAATGAATATATGAATTTCTTCTCTGTGCTACTTCAAACCTTCAGTAACTGACCTTTTTAAAAGACATTTAGCAAATACTAAATAAATCATCTTAAATATACTGCTGCTGAAGTCCAATATCCACCTATTGCCAGAATATGCAGAGACAGAGACTGACATTAAGTACAAAAGGTGGTGAGGATTTTCACATAAACTGGTCTCAGAGTTGTCAACCCCAGAGTCAGGGTCTTAATAATTATTCATCTTGTGGTATAGTCTTAGTTCAATTTGCCAAAGATTTACTGAACACTTACCCTGCTGGGCACTGAACCAGGTGCCGGGGACACAGAGGTGAGCCATTCATGAGTCACCTTCAAGGGAAGCCTTGAGGAGTCTCTTTAGCTAGAGAATCACTGTTTAGCTAGAGTGTATGGTTTTGCACTTCTCTGGAGTCAATAGTTAAGGAGCCCTGGTGGTGCTTAAGGAGCCCTAGTGATGCAGTGGAGCCCTGGTGGTGTAGTGGTTAAGAGCTCAGCTGCTAACCAAAAGGTAGACAGTTCAAATCCACCAGCCACTCCTTGGAAACTCCTGGGGCAGTTCTATAGGGTCCTATAGGGTCAGTATGAGCTGGAATTGACAGCATCCAACAACAGTCAATAATTACTGAATCTGGTGTGTAACATGAACAGTGTAGTACTGTTTTGAATATAGAGAATACTTTAGACAGAACCCACTGATAGAACCTAAGGAGTATCGTTTTGGTACGTGTCTGGTAGAATCACTATAATGTAATATGGCTTAACCTTGGACGTCAGTTGTTATTTTGGTTCTTTAAAATGTTACTGATGTTTTTATTCCTTATGAATACTAGTGTATAACATATTTGGAGAATCATACTCAGCCATTAACCAGAACGTGTATTATTTAAATTTACATATAGAAAAATGGACCACAGCGAAAGCTTTCATATTTTGTGTGTGAGTGTGTGTGTGTATAAAGCTATTGGGGTTAGTAATTCTTTTCCTTTCGTGGAACTTCTTTATAGAATTCTTCAGTTTTCTTTCCCTATCACAATAGCACCATCATATTGTACTATGTAACTGAGCTGTAGCAAGTGGCACAGTGGTTAAAAGTGCTTGGCTGCTAACGGAAAGGTCAGTGGTTCAAACCCACCATCGGCTCTCTGGGAGAAAAATGTGGTGTCCGCATCGGTAGAGATTTACAGCCTTGGAAACCCTGTGGGGCGTTCTAGTCTGTCCTAAATGGTTGCTCTGAGTTGAAATCGACAGGACAGCACTGGGTGTCTTTTGTGGAGGAGGGGTTAGTAGCAAGTCATAATGACCTTTTAAAAGCATTCATTACACAGAAGAGGTAAAGATGTAGCTTTTCTTTTCTCATTCTTTGGGGTTTGAATAACACTGTAGGAGAAGCACAAACACTTTCAACTGCATGCTATGATGTCGATTTACAGCGACTTTCGTGACGATTATCTACATTGCAGCTTTTGCATGGGCAAATTTTCCTTTCAGCTTTTTTTGACATCATCTAGTCAGGTTTTTAAAGTAGCTTGAACTTGGCATCATGGTCTCTGCTTACTTTAATCTTAAATACATCCTGTGCCCCGGCAAAAACTGACAGAGGTAGATTTTTGAACCCAAACTCTTCATTTTCTCTGGCTTTCCCAGGAAAGCTGCGAGTCAAAGTAGAGCAGGTTTAAGGAAGGGGAGAGAGAAAAGAATGTGCAGTTTGTGCTGGTACTCTGCGTTATGATGAAAAGATAAGCCGCACGTGGTAGAAAATAGGGAGTATTTGAATGAGAAAAGGAGTCCGTAGGTGCCGCAAATGGTTAATGTGCTCGGCTGCTAACTGAAAGGTTGGAGATTTGAGTTCATCCAAGGCCGCCTTGGAAGAAAAATCTGGTAATTATTTCTGAAAAATCAGCCATTGAAAACCCTGCGGAGTAAGTTCTCCTCTGACACACGTGGGGTTGCCAAGAGTCCGAATTGACTTGACAGCAACTGGTTGAACAGGAAATGGCATAGGAAAATATAATTAATTCCCAAGTCATAATTTTGCAGCTTGATTTAACTTTTTTAATGAAGTGTTATAAATTCCCAGAACCATGAGAGAAGACCAAATTAAAATATAATGTAACATAGAAACGTATTTTTAAGCTAAATATAATTCTTCTTAAAAATCATTTATCCTTTGAAATTATTACTAGCCTCCCCCCCACACCCCCTACCTCCCAGTTAGATTAGGTCACTGAAATGGATACAAACAGACCATGGGCCTGTGTATTTCTCCTTTTTTTAATACATAAATTATTTTGTCAAGCACTGTGAAAGGAATCGGAGCCCTGGCCGTGCAGTGGTTAAGAGCTATGACTGCTAACCGAAGGTCGGCAGTTTGAAAAGACCAGACTTACTGGTCTGACAGAGACTGGAGAAACCCTGAGAGTATGGCCCCCGGACACTTTTTCAGCTCAGTACTGAAGTCACTCCTGAGGTTCACCCTTCAGCCAAAGATTAGACAGGCCCATAAAACAAAATTGAGACTAAATGGGCAGACCAGCCCAGGGGCAAGGATGAGAAGGCAGGAGGGGACAGGAAAGCTGACAATGGGGGACCCAAGGTCGAGAAAGGGAGAGTGGTGACATGTTATGGGGTTGGCAACCAGTGTCACAAAACAAATATATATACGTATATTAATTGTTTAATGCGAAACTAATTTACTCTGTAAACCGTCATCTAAAGCACAATTAAAAAAAAAAAAGGTTGGCAGTTTGAATCTACCAGCCACTCTTTGGAAACCCTATGAGGCAGTTCTACTCTGTCCTATAGGGTGGCTAGGAGTCGGAATCCACTCGATGGCAACGGGTTTATGAAAGGAACTGGACACTTTAAGAAGAATGTAGCCCTCCCTCACTGAACTCACATCTGTTCCAAGGTCAGGTTGCTCAGCTCTACCTGAGATCCAGTGCATCCTCAGGCTGTTAGAACAATGTAATACATGAGTGGATAACAGCCAACTAAGAGAAATGAGCTTCCCTGACATTTAGTGTTATAATCAAACAAAAGTCACCAAGGGGCACACTATCCAGGCATGAGGGACCACTGGATGACAGATGGCTCTGCCAAGGCTGGGAACCAGGGTAGAGGTGCCCAGTCACACTGTCCTTAATAAACAGCAGCTGCTGTCTCCTGGGTGGAGCAAATGGTTAAGCATTCAGCTACTGACCAAAAGACTGGTGGTTCAAGTCTACCCAAAAGTGCTTCTGTAGAAAGGCCTGGTGATCTACTTCAAAAAATCAGCCTTTGAAAATCCTATGGAGCACAGTTCTACTCTTACACACATGAGGTCACCATGAGTTGGAATTGACTCGACAGCAACTGGTTTGGTTTTCTTTTTTTCCCTCTTTCCTGTAGTGGAAATTGCCCCCGTCCATTGAAAAACAAATAGTAGGAAAGTTAAAGATTAGACTGCTAAAAAGGAGCTGATGGGAAGGAAGACTTAGGACACAGGAGACCTGGGAGAGCGGCATCCAGCAGATCATTCTTCACCTGTTACCCTGTGAGTGCGCTCCCAGGAGGGAGCTGAGAGGTGTGAGGTAAAGGCAAGGCTCACTAGGCAAGCATTTCTGCTGGCATTCCATAAATATGAAGTTTGCTCAGTCAGAAAATGTCCTCGAAATCTGAGAGAAGAGGAATATCAATTATTCACTTCCAAGTGTGAATGAATTCCCTTACTTGAATTTCTGGACCCTTACCTAGCTGTGGTGGCACACTGGTTAAGAGCTACAGCTGCTAATCAAAAGGTTGGCAGTTCAAATTCACCAGCTACTCCTTGGAAACCCCATGGAGCAGTTCTACACTGTCCTATAGGGTCCCTATGAGTTGGAATCCACTGTATGGCAATGGGTATTTTAACGAGTACCTAGCTGCGGTAGAGTGTGAGACACTGTAACAGAGGCTAGGATGTGAAGGAGAGTGTTGTGTGTGTGTGTGTGTGGGGGGGGGCGGTTTGGGCAACCCAGAGGAGAAGAAGAGCATTGGACTCCCAGGAGATGGAGGGAAAGAACCAAGTTAGGAGGTAGCAGAGGGGCTCAGACAGACGTAAAGCAATGGAGGAAAGCAGTCGGAAGATAGGAGGAAGGCTGCAGGTGTAACCTGTGGGCCTGCACTGTCCTTGCCGGGAATTACTCTAGGAACTTAAATTGGCAAAAGAACCCATACCAATAAAACTTACACAAGATAGGTTAATGCTTCAGATGTCAGTTTCTTAATTTATACGTCGTAAGAGTTGTACAGAAGTCCCTGGGTGGTGCAAAGAGTTAAGTCCTCAACTACTAGCTGAAAGATTGGTGGTTCAAATCCACCCAGAGGCGTCTCGGAAGACAAGTCTGGGGATCTACTTCTGAAAGGTTACAACTTTGAAAACTCTATGGAGCAGTTCTACTCTGCACGCATGGGGTCATCTGCGTCAGAATCAACTTGATGGCAACTAACAATAACAACAACAAGAGCTGTATACTCCTGGCCAATGAGTTACGAGCAAGTTCTTCTTTCTAATAATCAGGGATGCTGCGTGTCATGCTACTGACCCACATCTGATGATATGTCTTCCAAAGCCCCTTTGCTACTTTCGCCACTGTTGTTTCTTGCCAACAGCCTAGTCCTGTGTTTTATATTTTCTGTAGAATACGTGCATTCTTATTTGATCACAAAATGCCCATTTTACTCTTCTACTCTCATCACTGTATGTTTATGGCATCAGAGAGATAATGTCTAGTTCAATTAAGGCCACCCTTGATCCAAAAATAAAAAATTGGCCTCTACTGTTTTAGGGGAGCCCTAGTCGCATAATGGTTAAGAATTCGGCTGCTAACCAAAAGGTTGTCAGTTCAAATCCACCAGCTGCTCCCTGGAAACCCTATGGGGCAATTTTACTCTGTCCTATAGGGTCGTTATGAGTCGGAACCAACTTGACGGCACCTAACAACAACAACTGTTTTGGGACTGGATTAATTTGGGGGGCATCCTGCTCTTTAGGGCAGAGTTGAAACTATGCATTTATGAAGTGATGGTCCCCTGACTTTGTTCTATTTTAATGACAACAAAACATTTCTATATGACATCATAATTTGTTACTTGGCTGTCACAAGGAGGGAAATGTATAGAACGCTTCACTCTTTAAAGTCACATGGTGTAAAATGAGTTTTCCTTTACCTTCCCCAGCTAGCATTATATCCTATACACTCTCTTTACTAAAGAATAACCTATTTTATAATTTAGAAAAATCAAACAGAAACATCAGCATATATTATGATCTGCATAAACTTTTTAATATAATTTCAGGAAAAATATCAGTCCCCCCCCCCAAAAAAAAGAAGATACTTTGAGGCTAACAGAAAATTCAGAATGTAATGGGTTACTAAAGTTCCAAAAAGACCTCACTGTAAGGTGGTTTCTAGAATATGGTCCATGATATTTAATGAACATTCTGTTGTATTTCAGGGGGGTGTTGATGGGGAGGATTACAAATAAACGCCATCGTCCACTAACAAAGGGTGGCATTATGGCTTATCCTGAAAATCCAGTTCTCAACGTGCCGACACACCTCAAATAATCTGTGGAATACAGAACCCAACCTAAAGGAAAGCAGAGTAGAAGTCCTTTTGTCCACCCCCTCAGTAGACTCAGCGGCATTCATACGACCCCCACGCCACGCCTCCATCTTCCTTCGTCCACGGAGAAGGGTCGTGAAGAGAAGGGGCGTCTGCCCCCTCATCTGTGGAGAGCGGCACCGCCTTGGGCGTTAGGTCATTTGCCACTGTCATGAAAGGGGTGAAAGGGTAGGGGGGTGGGGTGGGGTACCCCGGCGTGTGGTGCAGCTCCTCCAGCCCATGCAGCGAGTAAGACTGAGACCCAGCCGGGGGGGTCCCCCAGCTCGAGCTCCTGTGCTGGGCAGTGCTCCCGGGTTCGAGCTGCGATAGGCAACTGGCGCTGGGCGGCAAGGTCTGCAGGGCGTCTGCGGGCACCAGGTCAGGCTGGCTGAAACCGTCGGGCACCGTCTGCTCCCACGAGTCCCGCTGGGGAGAATGGAAAGGTCACTGGCGTTACTCGTAGGCGATACTCCGATGTGGAGCGATTCCCTCCCCAACGCAGGCCGCTATGGGACCATGGCTTCCAGAGTAAGTAGACTTCGTGTGCTCTCGCCGCTGTCCAAAGTCTGGTTTACCAGGGAGCCTTTCTTTCTGGATTTTGACACCAGCAGTGAAAGCTTTACTTCCCTTCTACCCTAGAATTATGGTGGCACAGTGGTTAAGAGCTCAGCTGCAACCCAAAAGCTGCAAACCAAAAGTTTGAATCCACCAGCTGCTCCTGGGAAACCCTATAGGGCAGTTCTGCTCTATCTTACAGGGTCGCTGTGAGTCGGAATTGAGGTGGAATCGACTCCACCCCAACGGTTTTTGTTTGTTTTTTAAAATATGTATATTAAGGAAGTCCCTGGGTGGTGCAGATGGTGAACTGAAAGGTCGGTGGTTGGAATCCACTCAGAGGCTCCTGGGAAGAAAGGCCTGACAATCTACTTGCAAAAAATCAGTCACTGAAAACCCTATGGAGCATTCTACTCTGACACACAGGGGGCTGCCATGAGTCGGAACTGTCTTGATGGCACCTAACGACAACAACAGTAGTTACCAAGGGAGCCCCTGGGTGGTGCAAACTTAGCGTGCTCAGCTGCTAAACAAAAGGAAGGGAAACATCGAGTCCTTCCAGAGGTGCCTCCAAGGAAAGGCCTGGAAATCTACTTCCAAAAAATCAGACATTGAAAACCCTATGGAGCACGGTTCTACTCTGACACATGGGGTCGCCGTGAGTCGAACTGACTCAACGGCAACTGTTTTTTTGGTATTATATATATTACAATCCCCTTCCCCCCCCAAAAAAAAATTAAATTAGTGAAATGCTGGTATGACAACAATAAAACTGAACATTTATGCAGCGTTTTACTGTTTTCAGGGCACTGTGTCTTGCATTCTTCTTTGAACCTCACAGTACTCTGGGCCCTATAGTGCCATTTCCCCTGTGCAGAAGGCCAGATCCTGGCTTACTCATGGAAGAAGTAGATTTCCAACTACCAAGAGTAGGTCAGAAAAACTAAACTGCCCACAGTGAGCAAAAAGAGGGAGGAAGCTCATAGACTTCTGGAGCTGGAAAGATCTGGGTTCAATTTATGGCCATGCCACTTACTATCTTCTTGATATTTGGGCACCTCACTTTGTACATCTGTAAAATGGAGCTTTAATAACTAAATCCTGAGTTGTTAGGGTTAAATGAATGAAAGTACATAAAATCTGGCACAGAGTAGGTACTTGATAATATTAGTCCCCACTCTGTGTCTTAAATTTCATATTTAGAGATTCATTCCTTTGTGGTGAAGACTTTACACTTCTCTATAAGAAGGGTGGAGCCCTGGTGGTGCAGCGGTTAAGAGCTCCGCTGCTAACCAAAAGGTCACCAGTATGAATCCACCAGCCACTCCTTGGAAACCCTATGGGGCAGTTCTACTCTGTCCTATAGGGTCGCTATGAGTCGGAATCGACTTGACGGCAATGGATTTGGTTTTTTGGTATAAGAAAGGTATTAGCATTCTCCAGATTTTTGTGAAGGGACCTCTTTGGAGCTCAATAGGGTAGAAATATTGTGAGGAAGAGGGAGGCAGGGGTCTGGGAGGGCAAGAGAAGCCTGATTGGGGGCAGATGTGCCTGTCCTGCGAGATTACCACCTAGATGTGTCTAAGATGTAACTTCAACGCTCTTTGCTTATGCACTAGGGAAATGATGATGCCTTGCACTAATGGGGTGGAGAAATATCTGGCAAAATCAGTAGAGTATTAACAAAATGGATGTAAATCCTGACTTCTCAATAGTCTCATTTGCTACCCGTTTTGGTGGGTGCTCCCCCTCCAAACGACTGGGTAAACCCTCTTGCTGTTGTGACAGGGATCTTTGAGGAAGACTCCCGCCTGCCTGTATCCTGGAGGATTGGTGGTGCTAGCATCTGTGGGGGCAGCTGCAGAGTAGCCTCAGGGGCCTCCAGGGGGAGCCAGCCTGGCTTCAATCTGGTTGCCAAGTGCGTGGGCCCAGGCTAGGTCCAGGTGAGCCCCGACCTTACGTTTCTCCCTAAAAATGAAATTTCCGCATACTCACAAAGTGTGTGGGGTCGCCGGGAAAGGGTGGCGGCAGGAGCGGCGGCAGAGGCGAGGCGCTGAACACGGAGCCGGTGTTGGGGGTCAGGGCTGTGGGGCGGTAGTCTCCGTAGGGCTCCGGGAAGTAGGAATCTAGGAGGCCCGGGTAGCTCTGCCCTGTGGAGGACTCACAGGAAAAGGGCTTAGCCACACTTGAGGTGTAGACGTCATTTGAAAACTGTTTAGTGTTGTAGTAGTCTGAGTCAGATAAGAAAGATCTTCTGACACCGTAGTAACCCGACGTTACCGGCGAACCTGTTGCCAAAGGAAAAACAAATGAGCAAAAAATTTCTCATAGTGAGGTGAAGGCATCGCTGTTGCAGCCGAGTTTTTCCACGTGGGAAATGGGATTACGCATGCCTGATAGCAAGGCTAAAATTTAAATAGTTAAGTGTTTCAAATTGCTTAAAGTATTTCTGCATTACTTCTTTTAACTGTTCAGTCCAAGTAGTTAAGATGTTTAAAGTTCACTCTGCTTTTGGGGAAGAGTTCATTTCAGATGGCACAATAACAGGTCCATCATTCACTCATTCTCTCATTCGACATACGTTAATTGTGAACTACTTTGTGTCAAGCACTGTGCTAGTAAGAGGCTGGATTTGTAAGATAAAAGAAACCCTTGGTATTTAAATTTTATCTAATAAGCTGTTTTTTTTTTCCTTTTACAGCATCTGAGTTATATCTCTATATACACAAGATCATTAACACTTGGCTTCTTCTGGGCTACAGAACATTCCAGAAGACTTTTTTTCTTGTTGTTTGAGATACAGTATCTCTAGATAAGGTGATAGCTATAACCCCATCTCAAATCAGAGGCAGGCTGTACTATCTTATACTTCTTTGTATACTGACCTTTAACAGTATCTAGCACCTAGCACACATTAGATTAATGACTTGCTTTGAGATGATAGGGCTTCTGTACAGTCAAGAGAACCACAGAAAATGTGTTGTCTGGCTTTGAAGAGTGTTGTGTTATTTGCTGCCCTCTTGTGGCCGTACTGAATCCCACCCGCATCTCACCAGGACACTGAAAGCTTAGAAAGAGTGTGCCTAGGACAGAAAGCTTCCCCTGGTGGAAAACAGGGAAAGAAGCTGAAACTGATAAGAGTATTATTTAAGGCAGGGCCAGTGCTGTGGTTCCAAAAGAGAAGATACGTGTTTGCTAAACACTTTCTGACCTGGTAATTTTGTTACAGCAGGAAACACATTATCATTTATAATGTACTTCGAGGCATAGACTCAAGGTCTGTATAATTGGTGGCTTAACAAAAAGTATTCCAACTGGTGGCAGGTGTGTTCTAACTAGCTGAGAAAAACACCCTGAGCCTCAGAAGGGCTGAGTGGGAAGAAGTTGAAAGTGCTTGTCTTCCTGATGTTTCCTCCAACCACAGAGAACCACTCTGAGCTTGGCCCACCTGCCTACCTGCCCACTCTTGCACAGGGAGAGAAGGGAGACTCGTCAAGACACCTTTCCTTTGTCTTCATGACCCGGTCATACATAACTCTAAACACTCGGGATTTTGGTCCTCATCACACGAAGTAAAAGTTCATACTTAACTCAGTATGCTTTCATCTGAGTTACATAACCATCTTTCCAATTGACCTGCAAATTCCATGGAGGTAGAGCTTATGTCATACATTTTCAGCAAACCCAGTAGCATAATACTGTGTTCAGCAACTACATGTAAATGTACTCATCAGAAGAAGAAATCAAACTTCCCCATAGAAACCTATAGCATGATTCTACTCACTCTGCATTCATCTTAAATTCCATAGCCCCAGACTTCTAATCTGCTCATGAATATGAAGGCTGCAGTTAGAGTTTTCATCCTAAGCGTACTTCCCAAGAAAAAGTCTGTGCAGGTGGAAATGAAAATCAGTGAATAAGGTTCTGTGTTATGTGAGGTATTCAGATCCACAGAAGTGGTTAAAGCTGAGAACCGAAGGAAGAGTATGTAAACAAGGCTTCTGGGCTCCCAAGTCTATATTTCCAGTTTCCAAACAAAAACAACTACGAGCAAAAGACCTCTACCCTCTGAAGCATGTATTTTTCTTCTTAAAAAGAGGAGAAAAAGAAGAGATGGGGGAAAGAGAAGTTGCAGAAATTTTCCTCTGTAGTAGGGAGCAGAAGCAACCAGAAAATACAGTTTATAGACATTCAGATACGTGGCTCTTATATGGTTTTATTCCATTGCTTGTCCACTCCTGAAGGTAATAAAACTATAGAGAAGGGCTGTGCCACTTCTGAGTTCGAGATCTGGAAGATATTGTGTGTGTGTGTGTGTGTGTGTACAGGAGTATTATTAAGAATGCCATTTTTCCATTCCCACAGGAGTATTTAATGAGCATATGTATTGAAAGAATACCGTCTAAGTACCTGACACAGAGTGAGCCCCCAAGAAATGGTAGTCCCTCTCTGCCCTCAGTTCTCTTTCCCTTTCTGTTCTAAGGCAGGAGTATAACCTATCTACCAGATCACAGGGTCACAACATTAAACATTTTAAAATTATATCCGGGGCCTGATTGCTGTTGTCTTTGCCCAATAAGCTTCTGCTAGGCAAGGGATCAAAAAGGCTGTCTTCAAGACAGACTGAGTTCTAAATTCCAGAATGATCAGATAAGGTTTGTCTTCACTGATTTTGTGTTTTAGAAATTATTATTTTTTTTCATTTGACATATATATTTTTAAAATTGTTGTCACAATATAGATAATGTGGCATTTGCCCTTTCCATATTTTTGACGACCAATTGAGCAAATTTAATTTAGTACTGGAAGGAAGTTGTATAAGAATAGAAGCCCAAATGTCCAATTTCAGTTCAAAAGGGAATTAATGAATTGCTCATTGAATGAAAGTACTCACCTGGCATCTGGACAAATGGAGACTGAGAAGAACTGCCACTGCCCTGGAAGGCAAAGAGAGGGGAGTGTTTTCTTCAGTTGCAAGTTTAAATTAAAAAAAAAAAAAAATCAGGAATACATTTTACAACCTTCATTTTCTGGTACTCAGAAATATTACGTGGTGGGCTGCAGGGGGTGGGTGGTCAACTGAGAGTGGAAATTGAAATACCAGGGAATGAAGTTTTACAAGTGGCAGAGACACACCAACCTATTAGATAATGGTAAATATGCCAAAAAACACTTGCTAGAAATTGAAGAGTTTATTCATTGTTACGTATTGTTTGCTTTAATCATCAAACATATGCAGGCATACCTCGGAGACACTGCGGATTCTGTTCCAGACCACTGCAATAAAGCAAATATGGCAATAAAGCGAGTCACATGAATTTTTTGGATTCCTAGTGCATGTAAAAGTGATGTTTACACTATATATGTAGTCTGTTAACTGTGCAATAGCATTATGCCTCAAAAAATGTATGTACCTTAATTAAAAAATACTTTATTGCTAAAATATGCTAACCATCATCTGAGCCTTCAGTGAGTCGTAATCTTTTTGCTGGTGGAGGGTCTTGCCTCTCTGCTGATGATAAAACTTTTATGGCTGCTGACAGATCAGGGTCGTGGTTGCTGAAGTTCAGGGTGGCGGTGGCAATTTCTTAAAATAAGACAACAATGAAGTTTGCCACATCAATTGACTCTTCCTTTCATGAAAGATTTCTCTGTAGCATGAGATGCTGTTTGATAGCATTTTACCCACAGTAGAACTCCTTTCAAAACTGGAGTCAGTCCTCTCAAACTCTGCCACTGCTTTATCAACTAAGCTTATGTAATATTCTAAATCCTTCATTGTCATTTCAATGATGTTTACAACCTCTTCACCAAGAGTAGATTCCATATCAACAAACCACTTTCTTTGCTAATCCATAAGAAGCAACTCCTCATCCACTGAAGTTTTATCATGAGATTGCAGCAATTCAGTCACATCTTCAGGCTCCATTTCTAATTCCAGTTCTTGTCATATTTCCACCACATCTACAGTTACTTCTTCCACTGACGTCTTGAACTCCTCAAAGTCATCCATGAGGGTTGGAATCAACTTCTTCCAAACTCCTATTAGTGTTGATAGGTTGACCTCCTGCCATGAATCACAAACGTTCTTAATGGCACCTAGAATGGTGAATCCTTTCCAGGAGGTTTTCAATTTACTTTGCCTAGATCCATCAGAGGAATCACAGTCTGTGGCAGCTATAGCCTTATGAAATGTATTTCTTCATAAGTCTTGAAAATTAAAATTACTCCTTGATCCATGGGCTGCAGAATGGATGTTGTGTTAGCAGGCTTTGAAAACAACATTAATCTTCTTCTGCATCTCCATCAGAGCTCTTAGGTTACCAGGTGCATCATCAATGAGCAGTAATATTTTGAAAGGAATCTTTTTTTCTGAGCAGTAGTTTTCAACAGTGGGCTTAAAATATGCAGAAAACCATGTTGTAAACAGCTGTGTTGTCATCCAGGCTTTGTTGATCCCTTTATAGAGCACAGGCAGAGTAGATTTGGCATAATTCTTAAGGGCCCTAGGATTTTCAGAATGTAAATGAGCATTGGCTTCAACTTAAAGTCACCAGCTGCATTAGCCCCTAACAAGAAATTCAGCTGTCCTTTGAAGCTTTGAAGCCAGGCACTGACTTCTCCTTTTCAGCTATGGAAGTTCTAGATGGAATCTTCTTCTAACAGAAAGCTGTTTTGTCTACATTGAAAATTTGTTATTTAGTGTAGCTACCATCATCAATTATCTTATCTAGATATTCTGGATAACTTGCTACAGCTTCTACATCAGTACTTGCTGCTTTGCCTTGCACTTTTATGTTATGGAGATGCCTTCTCTCCTTAAACCTCATGAATCAAACTCTGCTAACTTCAGACTTTTCTTCTGCAACTTCTTTAACTTTCTCAGACTTCATAGAATTGAAGAGAGGTAGGGCCTTGCTCAGGACTGGGCTTTGGTTTAAGGGAACGTTGTGGCTGTTTTGATCTTCTATCCAGACCACTAAAACTTTCTCCATATCAACAATGAGGTTGTTTCACTTCCTTATCATTTGTGTGTTCACTGGAGTAGAACTTTTAATTTTCTTCAAGAACTTGTCCTTTGCTTTCACATCTTGGCTAACTGTTTGGTGCAAGAGGCCTAGCTTTTGGCCTTTCTTGGTTTTCGCCATGCCCTCCTTACTAAGCTTAATCATTTCTAGCTTTTGATTTAAAGCGAGAGAAACATGACTCTTCCTTTCACTTGAACACTTAGAGGCCATTATAGGGTTATTAATTGGCCTCACTTCAATAGTGTCGTGTCTCAGGGAATAAGGAGGCCCGAGGGGAGGGAGAGAGGTAGGGAAGCGGCTGGTCAGCGGAGCAGTCAGAACACACACAACATTTATTGATTAAGTTCACCCTCTTATACGGGTTTGGGTCGTGGCACCTCAAAACAATTACATTGGTAACATCAAAGATCACTGATCACAGATCATGGATATAATAATAATGAAAAGTTTGAAATATTGCAAGAATTACCAAAATGTGACACAGACATGAAGTGAGTGCATGCTGTTGGAAAAATGGTGCCGATAGACTTGCTCAACACAGGGTTGCCACAAACCTTCGATTTGTAAAAATCGCAATATCTGCAAAGCGAACTAAAGCAAAGTGCAATAAAATTAAGTGTGCCTGTATATATTTATATATATAAGCACATATTTGTATATAAATAGATATATAAATACATACTTCATAAATACATTAAGACAATGAATAAGGAAGACAGAAGAAAAATTGATGCCTCTGAAGAATATTGAATATACCATGGGCCGCCAAAAGAATGAACAAATTGGTCTTGCAAGAAGTACAGCCAGAATGGGCCTTAGAAGCAAGAATGGTGAGACTATGTCTCACATACTTTGGACATGTTATCAGGAGAGACCAGTCCCTGGAGAAGGACATAATGTAAAGTAGAGGGTCAGTGAAAAAGAGGAAGACCCTCAACAAGACGGATTGATTGGCACAGGGGCTGCAACAGTGGGCTCAAACGTAGCAACCATTGTGAGGATGGTACAGGACAGGGCAGTGTTTCATTTTGTTGTACACAGGGTGGCTATGAGTTGGAACTGACTTGACAGCATCTAATAACAACAACAACATACATTTAATTATGTAAACATATAATTTATACGAATATGTATGAGTTGAAATCGACTCCATGGCAATGGGTTTGGTTTAGGTTTTATAAGGTGTATATATCATTGGTCCATACAGGATAATATATATATTATCTCACCATGCTTGGCATTTGACTTCAACGAAGAACAATTGCTTTTGTATTGTCTGTTTTCTTGTAGAATTCCAGCTCCCCAACCTTGACTGTGAATTGATCTCAGTTCCCAGAAAAGTGTGTGTAATAGACACAATAAAAATATGCAGAATGAAGATACAGTCCTCAAAGAGCCCACAGTCTGCTGAGCACAGGGGTTGGGAGGTGATTGACAAGGACACAGACAATTCACTGTGGTGTGAGAAGTGGCATGACCAGGAAGGATGGGGTGATGTGGGGCACTTAGGCTGGTTTTAGAAGGGGATGGGGTGGGGAATCCTTGGAGGAGATGATGTTTAAGTTGGCCTTTGAAGGAAGGGTAGGGAGTATCCATGTGAAGAGGAATAGGGAAGAGTGTAGAGTCTTAAAATACACAAATGCAAATTCTGGCTCCAAGGTGCCCAGGAGCAAAGTAAATGGAAACTGTAGCCATTATTAAAGCTAAGCATCCTTAACATCCAGTTCTTTGAATCTGAGTTCTTTGCTCTGACTGTTAAGGTCCTATAGATTCTCAGAATTGGAAGAGGTTTTACATGCATCTCATTCAACTACACATTCAATGCTTAAATCCTCTCTCTAACCATTTATTAAACAGGTGCATTTAGCCTCCAGTGATGGAGAACTAAGCACCCTATGAGAAAGTCAATTTCTTCTTTGGGGACCTTGACTCTCACAAAATTCCGTTTACCTTCAGCTGAAAAAAGTCACTTTCCTAGTTATAATCTCATTGGTCCATAGAGGATAAGTTTAATCCTTCTTCCGCATACAGTCTTTCAAATATTTAAAGACAACCCATCATTTCCCAACCTTGAATCCTATCTTCTCCAGGTAAAATATCTTCCAACCACTCAGAAGTAGCATAGTGTTTAAAATGAAGACTGTGGGACGATAATGCTTGTCTTTGAATCCTAGCTCTGCCTCTATTAGCTGTGTCATCTTGAGCCCATGAAGACAAAATGAAATCATGTGTGTCGAGTACCTAGAATAGTTCTTGGCACAAAGTAAAGAGTATATAAGTGTTAGCTATTGTTATTAGGATATATTTTCATGTCCCTTCAAATCTGTGATATATTCCTCTGAACGTGGTCTGATTTATGTATTTTTCTATTTAACAAATCAACACTTGTAAGTGTCAGAAGGTAACTCTTGTGCATGAAGAGGTCAGAGGTGGGTGCAGATCAGGGTCTCCTAACATCTTGCGTGGAAAGAAAAGGAGGCAATGTTTAAACCATAGAAGCACGGCTGCCTGGGATATTATCTTGTGTTGTCAGGGCCCACCTCGTTGAGCGTTACTCTCTGGTCTGGCTGGGTCTTTCCTTGGAGACCTGTGCCAACACCTGTACCCTCTGGCTTCTGCTTCAGCCTCCTTCCGTGTGTAAGTAGGGTGTGGTAGGCTGGTAGCCCTCCTGGGTACTGCCTAGGGAGATGTCCCATTGTTCTTTTCCCAGCTTCTTCCCCTCCCTGCTCCGCTTAGACTCCTCTGGCCAACACTTCAGTGAGAGACAGTACACATATTCAGTTGGATGAACATCAGTATCAGCACCCAATTCTCCCGTCAACAACTGTCAGTCACCCATTCATTGACTGCCCTAGCTCTACCTCCTGCCTCTG